ATATATTTTTTAAAAAAATTTAGTGTCAGTTGAATTGGAATATATATATAAAATGGTTTTAAGAATATTATTACAGGAAAAAAATATTTAAATGCAACTTTTTGACAAGGATTGCAGAAAGAATGGTATGTTTTCCACAAACATTCTCCTTTTATGAAAAATACCTCTATAATAATATTTTTCCTATATACATCCAGGATTTTGGTTAAACTCGAATTTTTGAAATATATAATTTAGAAATGGCTTTAATCATATTTATTGTATCAGAGAGGATAAATTATAAAAAAAAATTCTTGCTACTATTTTAATTAATTGTAACTCCGAAAATAATGGAAAATTTTTCAAAAATTTTAGTTCAACTCCATTAAAGAAGTCGTAGCTATATATAAGCAAAATTTTATTGTTATAAAAGTATTTTTTATGAAAGGAAAACTTTTTTGAAAATATATCATTCTTTCTTCAGTTCTTGCCAAAAAATTGCATCAAAATTTTTCTCCCCTGTAATAATATTCTTAAGACAATTTTATATGCTGTATGTTCTAATTCAACTGACAATCTATATATATATATATATATATAAAAATTGGTGCTTTAATTTTTGTGTTGTATATGAAAAAGAAAGTACTCGGTTCTTATAGAATTAGTTTAACTTTGGACTTTGTAAATCCAGCATTTTTTTGTTAGAAATTAACATTTTACATTGCTTAATCAAATATTAAATTTTTCTTTAATGTTAAAGATGTTTTGATAGTTATATGATACCATTTTTGAAACTTTTCAAAAAATATAATGAGGGTGAAGAAAACAGAAGTACCCGAAACAATAATTAAAATATAAATATCAACTCTAAATTAATGTTTATGTTTTTCCGCCAGGGGAAATTAAAAAATATTTGCATTCTAATTCGTAAACTCATTCTGAAAGATAATTACTTCATGCAATCAGAAAGTTAGTAAATATTTTTTAAGAAAATTTAAATCAAGTATATTATGAAAATTATTTTGAAACTTTGTTTTAAAAATAAATGAAATTTAATCTACCTTTAGAAGAAAAATTGGAACCATAACTGCATTATGTAATCTTTAATATGTTAAAACGCGATATGAATTGAGAAAATCGATCATTTTTAGCAATGCGTGAAAAAAAGCAGTAAGGTAAGCTAATTTCAAAAAGAATTTTAATTATTTGTTAGGTAATTATGCATAGAGGTATTAGCAAATGAATTATGCAATTTAGGAATTAATTTGTCATACTGAAACGGATTACGCTAAGTTTGATCGTATCATTAGAAAAGAAGATGAATAAGAAAATAGAAAAAAAAGTGGGGAAGGGATTTTCCAAATGAGTGATTTCCAAATGAGGCACACCTGTGCTAGAAAGTAAAAGATGGTTTTATTTACATAATCTTTAAAATTAAAATAAGTACTTATATGAAACAAAAGGTTGTTGCTTCACTTTTGTTCTTGGGCTCATTTTAGACTACGGCATGAGTTTAAAGCTCACGTGAAATTTTATTATGTACTAGCTGTTATACCCGTTCTTCGCACGGGTGAATTGAAAAATTAAACACTGCAGATTGAAGGATAAAGAAGTTTTTAATGAGTTAATTTTACGTGTGAATTGCAAATTAAACAAAAGCTTTTTGCATATCTCAGCTGAATAAAAATAAAACCCTGTTTGTTAAACTTTAAGTCTGTAGATCTAATAGCTGATAAAAAGGATTTCTTTTTATTTATAATTCCCCGTAACTCTCTTGTGGGTCGATTTTTGAAAACACCTTCCTAAGCTGATCTCTGCTCAGCAAAAGTAACACATTGTTACACATTTTGTGTAATGATAGCTTTTATTATAGTATAAATAATTTATATCTGGAAGTGTAATACATTAATATTACTTTTTGTTGTATTTATTTTATGTTAAAATTGTAATCAGCCTCCACTCCGCCTGTTCAAGCTTTCGCAGTTCCTGGCACCTGACGTAGACAAAACAAAATTCAAAGTTTTGCTTCACACATAAAAGATAGACATATGCTGTCGCTGGCTTTTTTGCAGATGGCAGAATTTTTTCCTACTTACTTGACAGTTATCGTTATATTTTGGACACTTCACACGATATCCTTATAAATTATAGCCTTTGTGTTATTCTGATGTATAAGCTATATTATTGTAAAGTTTCATTAAAATCCATTTAATTATTTTTGCGTAAAGAGTACCAAACATCCACACAAACTTTCTCGTTTATAATATTAGTAAGGATATATGTTATACATATACCGTTAAAAGCATGAAATCCGTTATTTCATAAAATAGCTAAGTATTTCATGAAATAACTAGATCAGTCAGTTAAACTACATAAAATTTTTGAATTTTGCGATTTAACTAGGTATTCTATAGAATAACGATTACTTGATCGTTAAAGTATGAAATACGACACTCGCGAAAGTTCTTTGAATTGGCTCTAGCGGCTTTGGGAAGAATTTTTCCAATTAGGCGGAATAAAACAAATGTTCTCTAGATATCAGTTCGGTATATGTCAGAGAAAATTAATTTTAATTGAAGAAGTTCCAAATATTGGCGAAGCGCTTCGATCTGTTGCAACAGCTCAAAGTTGCGGTATTGGACCAGGATTTAAAAAGTGCTCGTGTAAAAATAATTTTTTATAGAAAAAAGTGTGCGTGTTTCAAAAATAATAAACAGTACAATCCAAAGTGTCATCACAGCAATCCTTGCTCTAATAAATAAGGAAAAGTAAAATAAAGGGATCTCATAAAATTTAAACTAATTCACTGTTACATTTTAGTTTTATAAAAAGTTTACACTCAATGTTTTTATAAAGCATCAGTTTTTCTTCCCAACAAATATTTTTGTTGATAATATTTAAATATAATCTATTTTTGCAACATATTCTTTTTTCCCCTTTCTGTTTAACTAATGCTAGCAATATGAGCAATAATAAATTACATAATTTATTTTCTATTATTTATCATCTATTTATCCGCAAAAGAGATAAAATGCATTTTTCAAGAGATATAGCTATATTTTTGATCAACTAATTTATAAACTATCTTAAAAATTGTTTATTTTTGACTTTAAAGGTCTATCCTTAGTTATTTCATAGAATAACTAGGTAAAGTATGAAATTTTTCATCTATCATACACTTTAACTGACTTGTCTAGTTATTTCATGAAATATACCTATATATAGTTATTCTATGAAATAACTGAATTATACACTTTAAGGTATCCGACAACGTTCGGAACCGTGATTTTAAAAAAGCGTATAAATGGATAATTT